TCAAAGATTTTTTCTTTTCTATATAGTTTTTTGTTAAATAATCTAGGTAAATAAAAAAATAGTAGAGTTATTTCTATTTAGTATAGTTTATAATTTTTAAAGGTCCAATACAGGTATACAATTGTGACTGTTTGATATTTGTAAATTGCAAGTTTTACACATTTCCTTTTTTCTCGTTTATTCTCTTTTTCTTTTTATTTCTTGATTTGTATCTTTTATCATTTACCCCTATATCTCTGTTTTGTTTTTTACATAAAAAAAAATCTTTTTTTTTGTTTTTTGCTTCTTTATGAAAAGATGTCATCAGATTGGCAATATCCTATTGTAGGGTGGCAGTCAGATAAGCAGTCTATCTCTAATTAGAATAGTGCGACAAGGCATACTTAGGTACCATTTGGGTGACCAGGTAATGCTAATCTTATATATCAGGAAAATTCTATGTAATCTATATAGTTTCAAGAATCCTAATAAAGTACTAACGTAACTACTAAAGTTAAAAAAAAAAAAAAAAATTTAATAATTAATTTTAACTATAAATATTAATCTTAACTATAGTAAAATCAAACTAACTATAAATAAAAATACAAAAGATTTTGAAGATTTATTTCAAAAATAATTAATTTTAAGATTGAAATAACATCCTGATTTTAAGTAACCTGATAAAGTTAATATAAGAATTGTAGAATCAGAAGGTTTAAAATAAAACATTCAAGCAAAGGTATTAGGTATAACAATTAATAATAAACCTTTGAATAAACTTTTTAAATAGATAATATAGAAAAGTTATATATGTAGTCAGTTGTATGCTCTTCTTGTAATAATTCAATATAAATATTTACTTGACAAAATGTTAATAAAGTCAAAAGACTAAAGAAATCATCTTAATATCAAAAAAAAAAACAATATTTATGCTTATATATATTAATATATAAGGGCACTCATAGCAAAAGCAGATAATAGATCTATATATTATATAGTTCTATCACTTGCTTTTGCTGTAAAAACGCCCATATATACAATATAGTTAAGTAATTATATAAGAATAAGTTATTAGAAACACCATATTTTTTCTAAGTAATTTTTTTTAAAACTTTAAACAAAAATGACTTAATAACTTTCTTAAATTTAATAAAAAAATTTTTAAAACAATTCTAAAAACTTAAATTTATTTTAAAAAAAATTATTAAATTTGATTTAAGTTTTTACTAAGTTATTTTTGTTATTTTTGTTTAAAGATTCAAAAAATTTCATTAAAAAAGATATGGTGCGTTTGTACTAACTCTCCCATATTACAATTATAATTTTAAAAATCTTAAGTGTATATAAACTTTTAAAAAAAAACTAAAAAAACTTTTACAGAATATACATTTATATTAATTTTTTCAGACACATAAACTACCTACGTGCTAAACCTGAAGTCTATTATGAGGGTTAAAACTGGTGAAATGTAAGATACCAGGGTCTTGTCACAGTAATTTTTATTTATTCTTTTATACAATCAGATTGAATACATAGTAATCATTGAACTAGCCATAATTTTGTTACCTTATTTGTACTCGGCTTTGTAAAAGTCGGCTCGATTAAGTCGACTAACCAACTTAAGTCGATTTTACAAATAGTGACTATCATCACTATTCGCATTCTAGTTCAACAATATGGCAAACTCAAGCAGTCATGCAAAAAACAACAAGTCACTACATAACGCTAGCATTTGCAAATACTTCCTTCAAAGTCGTTGTATTTACGGCGATGCCTGCTGGAATAGACACGAATTGCCTGACACGCCCGTTAATAACGAAATGGAAACCAGAAAGAAAGAAAAACAAAAAGAAAACGAGGAGGAGGAAGAAAATATCTGTGCAATCTGCTATGATGTTCCAAAGACATTTGGTTTGCTTGGTATGTTTTATTTGTCGACTAAGAATCCATTACTTGATTTAATGTGTTTGTAAATTTTTCTTTGATTTTGTTTCAACCGTCTAAACTTGTAATGGCAATCTAGAAGCTTAGTTGTGTATTGTCTTTAATGTTTCCACAACTTCCAATGTTTTATCTTGAATGTTAACCGTTTTATTATTATATTTTAAATAGTATCTTGTGACCATGTTTTCTGTCGCGGTAAGTGTCTTAATTATTTGAAATTTTGTAATAATTTTTTCAGATATTTATCATCATTAATATTTTTTAGATTGTATAAAAGAGTGGCGCAAAACGGATAGCCTTTCTACTCCTTTTCAGACAACCAACACAACTAAAACTTGCCCTGTTTGTCGAAAAAATTCACCTTATATTGTACCCTCCTCTAGCTTTGCGAAAGAGGGTCAAAAAAAGACTGAGATCATCTCATCGTATAGAGACCGACTTTCTCAGATTCCTTGTAAATATTTTCAGGAATCCAGAAAGTGTCCATTTGCTAATAAATGTTTTTATAAGCACGCAAATCCAGATGGATCTAAGTGTGATTTGGGCCCTCCGAAGAGAAAAAAGCCAAGAACATGTTTAGGAAATTTCCGGTACTGGGAGGTGACTGGAGAAGGTAGTGGATTGGATTTCAGAGCGATTTCTGAAATCCTTGGTGGATTTTCTATCAATCACAGTATTCACCATATTTTTACAAGAGACTGGGATAATTGGGACGATGAAATGGATTTTGATGAAGGTCCTACATGGGATGATGATTTCTAGGATCGCGATCCAACCCTTTTTTTTGAATTATGACGTTACCACATAGTTTGGGTTTGAAATCGGGACTTCTATTTCATTTTGGATAATAAACAAAACCTAAATATATGTTCATTCTTAGTCAATAGTGTAAATTCAAAGATCAATAAAGTTTGTTAAATCAATGCTATAAATTATTAAAACTTTGTTTATTTTTTCAAATTAAGAGTTTAAAAGGGATTCAACTAAGCAGATATATTGAATAAGTGATATGTTACAGTATATTTAATTATTACATTAAATGTGTATATAATAAGTAAAAATAATTATATTTTAATCTGCTTGCAGACAAATTTATCTGCATTTGATTTTTTTTAATAATTAATAAATTTTTAATTTTAATTTTGATTATATATTTTAAAAAAGATATACTGTATTTTATTAATTTTATTAAAAAATTTTGAAATAAATAACTAAATTTTGGTATTGAAAATTATATTACAAGAATGTTATATATTTTTGTCTATAAAAATATATTTGCTTTAAGACAAGTCAGAATTTTACCAAACTGCTAATATTACGGGAATAAATTTTTTTTTGAATAATTAATATCACAATACATATCAAATAGATCAGAGATAATTTTTAAAATGCAAAAAATAATTTTTTTAAAAAATCCCTTAACAAATTAAAGAGGTGAAAAATTTTAACATCTAAATAAAATTTGAGTCGTAAATAGTGAACCTTTCGATCAGATTTCCTTTAAAATTTTGAATATAAAAGTAAAAACTCTTAATAAAAGTCATCTCTTATATAGTCCACCCCTGTTGATTAACTATGTAATTGTTAGTTGACAAATGAATTACCGCGACTTGACTCGAATCATGATATATGACGATAAAGGTAGTTTCACCAAATAAAAAGAAGTTTCTTGATCATGTTAATTTTATTAAATTTGTCGCGGTGATGATTTAGGCTTATTTTAATATGACCCTTCTTGGGGTATTTTCTTTTTTTTTAGGGATTTGAGTTAGAGTTTAATCGAGATCCAAATTTCAGTATCCATCTTGTTGAATATGAGACACCATAGAATTCATTCAATCCAGTACACAAGAGCTCTTCTGATAAAAACAATGAAAATAATACTTACCTTTAAAGCTCTTACCAGCTATCAATAGTCAAATTGGTTAAAGTCACTATAAACCCGATTTCAATCTGTAACCATTGCAGAAATAAAAAGAGATACTGAATTTATGTGCAAGAAACAATTTAAGATTATTGGTCGTAAATAATATCGAAAGTGTTTGACATTAGAAACCTAATAAATACGACCAAAAGAATCCACTAGGGTGACCCCGTTTTTTTCGGGTCATGTGATGATCGACAAAATGACTTAGTGTCGAGTTAGGTTTATAACTAGGAAAACGGGAACCGTTATAAGTCCGAAGCAAGAATCTGTCGTATTACCTAATCTAAAAATTTGATTGGTTATCTTTAACGGACATTGCATGAAATGGAGTAGAAGTATAAACGTCCTCGGACAATTATGAATTTTCCAAATTATGGTTTATTATTGGTTAATTTGTTGTCGATCATCACATGACCAAAACGGGATCACCATCTTACCCAGGATCGCCAACAAAATTTTGCAGTCATGTGATATCGACAAAAATTCTTTAAGTTAGGGTAGGTCTATGTTTTAATAAGATTTTTAGGAATCCTAATAGCACAGACGGTGATTTCTTATGCAGGTTTTTGAGAAACGAATGTTTGTTTTGAACTTTCATGATCGTGTTACGTTACCCCAAATCGTGATTAACAATTGGATAATTTGTCGTCGATCATCATGTGACTGCAAAATTTGTTGGCGATCCTGGGGTAGCTGGATATTCTTATGTCCAGAAAATTCTGAGCTGCCAGCCAAAAGAATATGGGTCGTAGTATCTCAAAAATTCACTATATATCTAACATTAACAATTGTGTTTTATAAGTAGAATTTCATTCTGAAAACTTTTACTTAGAGGTCGGAAGTTAGTTATCATAGTAAATTTTTGTGTTATTTACGTTTTTTTTACAATTTCTTATGTTTTTCACGTTTGTTTTGTTACACAAGATCTTGTGATTTTATTGGATCCGGATAGGGTTGGAAGGGATCTTCAGCCTGGGATTTTCTGGACATAAGAGTACCCGGGGTAGCTGGTGGATTCACACCAAAATTCAGCATATCAACTCAAATATAAGGTCGGAATAGGCCCGGAGCTAGGTCGGCATTAAGCAATAATACCAGTTAACTATACTACAGTAAAATTATTATCTGGGCGTAGTATGTGAGCTACCATTTTATTAGTAAAATTTTGTGATTTAGGAGCAATTTATTAATATTACCTGATTTGCTGAATTTTGTTTGATTTATTAATTTAATATAATTTTAATAATTCTCTATTCAAATCAGATTAATGAAATTGGTTCATAATGAAATACCCTTATGTCAAGAAAATTTCAGAAGAAACCATCCCAAATATGGAAATAATTACCTGAGTTACTTGATTGTTACACAATTGATAAAAAATTTTTTTTATATATTTTACACTACTAGTAAGTAAACATTAAAAATTTATCTATAAATTTCATTAAAATAGCACTTTCAACTACATTACACATTTTACTAAGAATCTATTAAATACTAGCTTAAAAGAACTGAATCTTTTTTTATTACTTGGTAAAAAATTATAAGATTAAGTATACAAATAGATACTATATTACAAAATTGAAATTTTACAGAAATTGTTTGGAATTTATAGCAGAGACAGTGCCTAATTCAAAATAAATCTTTTTTGTTTATAAACAATTACAAATTAAATTATTTATATTGAATTCAATTGTAATAGATATAATCTCTTATTAGTTTTAATATATACATAACATCAACAGTCTTTGCTGTTTTTGAAATTATTATTTTTTAAACAAAAAAATTTTTAAAATTCTGTATAATAGGTTATCATTTGATAATCTTAGTAATTTGAAAAACACTAATAGATTTAATATATATAATGTCACATTTGATAATATAGTAATGTGACAATGTTTTAATATAAAAAAATTTTATTTAATAAAAAAAAAATTACAAAAAATAATTTTTTTACAATTTCTAATAAATTTTTTATCATTGTCACATTATCAATCACTGTTTTAGTATTATTTAAATCATTCTCAACTATATTTTTAACATCTTTATTAATAAATTCATTTTTACTCTACTTTTTCTTTATACTTACCTTCAATATATTAATATTTTTTATAACTTTACTATAAAGATAATCTAAATATATCAAGCATTTAAATTGCTATTTTTCTAGATATTGGTTATAGTAACTATGTCTACATGCAAAAACTTTACTATTATCTGAACAGCTATTATAGTTAATGCAATCACAATAAAGAAAATTATATAAAACTATTATAAAAGGTTTCCTAGTGATAATGAAACCTTTTGAAAGATAATACTCTGTAATTTTATAATCTAAAGAAGACAACTTATACAAGTTAATACCATCATTTAATAAACTAATAATTGAAGGATACATATAGTGAGTTTGATATATTTTTTTAAATATATTCAAAAATAGTATGACACATTTATGATAAAGTATATATAGCTAGTTGGCTGAATATGGATATTTAATAAAATTCATAAATATTGTTGAAAATGATTATCTTCTCTATGCTAAAAAATAAAACATATCTTCTTCTGCAATTGTTCTATTTCAGAAAATTTAGATGTTTGTCATTGAATAATGCTATAAATTATTTCTACTAAACAATTACTTAAAGAAATGAAGTAGTTAGTAATCATATTAATTATTAGATGATTAGTTTTTATTCAATAAAAAATATTAGAAAAGAATATTAAAAATATATATTTATAATTTCTTCAATTGAATTGAAGAAAAAGATTACTCCAACAGTACATATAGGCTTCTTCATAAGCTGTTCAGTTTTCTTTCTGATAATATATCATATAAACATTAAGAACTAAAGAAATTAAATTACTTAAAAGATCAGTTAAATATAAAAATTTAATATTTTTACATATATAACCAAACTTTGAATAAACCAACTTATCTATTTCAAGCCATATTATATATATTATATGATGAATTAAATCGATTTGTCATAGTTGTAACTTTTTACCAAGATCCTTTCTTTGTTCAAATATGTCTTTAAAAATATCATTAAAGGTAAAGGATAATATATTAAAATTATATATAAACTCAATGATAAAATTTTTTTATATTTAATTTTATAAAAAATTATATTAAGTAAACTAATATTAATTTATAAAAAAAGTTTGTAGAGCAGGTTTTTCTGATTTTAATGATAGTAAAATATTAAATTTGATTAAAAACTCAATAAGATATAACTTTTTAAAGATTAGATATAAAAATTTATTAATTAAATTAACTTATAGGGTTACATAAATTAACCAATCAAATTTAGTACTCTTGTACTATCTAGAAAATTTTGAACTGTTCTAAAAAAACTTTGTGATATATATAAGTATATATTTTTTAAATATAATAATAGTTCAAAATTTTACTATAATAGATAAATTATTTTATTTATATTTTGTGAAATTTTAATAAAAATTAGTTATAATTTAAAAAAGTTTTATAAATAGTATATTTCAATTTTATATAAAAATTTCAAAATACTATATAAAACTATATAAAAATGATCTATGTACTCTTTACCCTTAAATAACTATAAATTTTTCACAAAAATAAGTTTATGACTATTTAAAAAAATATGTAGAGATCTCATCATTAGTAAAAATATTATAATAAATAAAGAAATAACTTCATTGTTAAGAAGAAGTTGATAGGCAATAGCTTTTTAAATAAAGAACTGCCTAGGCCAGTTTGCAATGATTGGGATTATATGATTTAAAAAATATTCTTGCATTGGTTCTTAATCATATATGATTTGAAGAGCTTTAGTATAATCTTTAACACTCTTCAGATTTCTTTTAACAAAATCAAAAAGAACAGCATTCTGTATATGTCTATTATTCTTTTTTTCTTTCAATCTATTATTATAACTATGCAATATTAGTTTCTTAATGAGCTTATTTTTAGAAGACTTACTTATATAATTTCTTTTACAATTATAATAAAAATTCTAAGATTTTAAATAAACTATTCATTAAGATGCTTTAAAATTAGCTCATTATCAATAACTCTTAGATTAAGTGTCCTATTACATGGTATAGCTAATGTAAGGCACAGATTCATTATAATTGTTGCTATATATACAGCCCAAAACATATTGGTAGTATCAGGTTGTTTTGTAATATGAATATTGTAATAATCATTAATATTTAGCACTAAAGTATTTTTTAACCAATTTTCAAAAGATTTTTTGATGTAATTTCTAAGAGTTTTTGAAATTTTTTTTTTTTATGATTTACTGCTCTTGCAGTTGTACTTATGCTAATATTGGTTAGCATATTAAGGCCTTCATTACTTGTATTTACAGAATCTAAGTAGTATGCTAAGTCAAACTTAAAAGAATTAATTTTTGATTAGTGACTACTTTATTCTTATATTTATCTAAACTTTCACTAATGCATATAACAAACCTCCACACCATCATACTAATATCAGTTGCAGAATCTTTAATTACAAAGCTATGTCAACTGACAAATAGACAGAATTTTCTGACCTTCTCTCTCACAGTCTTAGCCTTTACAATATACTACTCAATAGTGATATCAATAAAAGCATTGAAACTACTTGGCATAAGATTGAATATTTAATAATTAATATTGCAATATATTTTATTTCTAACAAAAAAACTTATAAATATAGCTATAATTATCAATATTCTTCTAACTCTACCTTAATTTACATATTACTTAAAGTGCTTGGGCATTTAATAAAAATTGTTAAAAACACTCTTAACAACCTTAACATAAACATGATAAATTCTAGGATTAAGACTATTAATAATAGATCCTACTGTGATCTTTAAACTCTTGATTCAAATAATAATTTTCAAATTCATACATGGATCCAACATGTACAAGATATC